AATAATGGGCTTGGTGTTGCCTAAAACGGGATGGGAAATATGTTTACATGTACGTCAAGCAGTCAGATTTAATCATAAATTATGTTTTAGGCATTCATTTAAATGTCCCCTTTGACTTCCGTACAAAACAAGCAACATTTTTGTGTGGAAGTCATTTAAGCCAATGCTTAATAAACAATATCAGTTTTGGCAAATTATTATTTATGTAAGACAATTTCATCTTTAACCCAAATCTTATTTTTCTCAAGGGTTTTATTCATGTAGTAAATCTGATATTTGTTGTAAGCCGTGTTCTGTGAATGTAGGATATCTGGACTAAAGCATGCCAGTTACCCCATCAGTGAAAGGGTTAAACAGTTAAAAGAGTTCAATTTGTGACAAATCATTATGTCCAACCGGCTTCAGCAGCTTAACAATGGCATCTCTAACGAGAGGTACACAAAGCCCAACAGAAAGAAGGTTAATGAATTAGGTTTTTTCTTTCATGAATGAAAATGTGACATTTTGGGTGGTTTCTTTACATTGTGGAGCTGAACAATAGCTTGGTTATCAAATGTGCCAGTTCTTGGAATCCACTTGCTTATTCTGGATCTTCATTTAGTAAATCAGATATTCTGGTTAAGCTTTAACTTTAATGTATCTAAGCAAAGTACATTTACTTTCACTCAATGTCTAAAATATGAATATTTGGAAAGTCAAGGGTTAACACAAGGTGTGTTTTTGTTCCTTGGGAAATCATCACTGATTGAATGCTCTTGTGTTGAGATGCAGCTGTAGCGCATGCAGAGACAAGAATCCAGCTGCTGACTGAGATGCTCCTCCTCAGACCCATGAACACATCTCTATAAAAGCTCATCAAATGTGTCAAACATCTTCAAATTACTGAACAGAATCGATTTAAAACTGCATGTGTACAGTTACCACAGCCCTGAAATGGCACATCTATTTAAACAAGCAACACTTTTCATCAGAAAGCTTTGGTTAAATGCATGACTAGATGAACAAAGCAACAGGTTTAATTCCTATTAAATGTGCTTGACTTACAATCAACCCCACAACTATTTTCCGTTTTAATTCACTCAAAAGGATAATAAAGCATAATTCATTTGCTCTGGCACAAATGGACTTAATGAAGGCATTAAACTTCATGGCGTGCCTTGTTGCATCACATGACAGCTAATCCTGAACACACCACTTGGAGATGTGTCAGTCATCCAGTGGTGATATTATTATACCTGAACCTCTCGGGCCTCTGATGGCCACACTGCACCAGTCTAGCTATTGGTCAGATCAAATGAAAATAAAGGGCTGGAAAGCCCTTACATGTCCACCTGAGCTGCCCTGAAATTCCCAAACCTCTGTTGGCACAGAGGGCGCAAACGGAGCAGGGAGGTCAACGAGAACCTAATTTCCAACAGATCTTCTTGTAGGAAAGTCTTTTCAGTGGAACTTCTCACAGATTAGCATATTATTTGATGATGCTTTGAAAGTTTCAGCCTGCAAAACAAAGCGCACCAAACCATCAGTAATGTCCTAAGTGCTCTGGTGCGTATACAACGCACGCACGAGACACCAAATTTCGTAAGATAAATTAAACAACCCTTCTAAACACCCACAGCTTATTTGCATATTTCCCAGAAATCAAAAGCCACATTTTTCCATACTGACTGTTAGGCACGGGTGGTGGTAGGGATATGTTAATATGAAACTCTTCCCTGAGGTCAATTTGAATCCCAAAACTGGTGCACAGAAGTGTTTATTTTGTTTCCTGAATGGTTCCCACTTAACCGATGAGCACGTAAATTATTTAAACATCTCTCACATCTAAAGACTCAATTCAGAGTATCTACTTCCCTCATTGGGTTTCTGACTTCGGGTTGTCTGAACTGCTAGATCTGACTGATAAAGTTCCCAGAACAACGACCAGTGTCACGAGAGTGAAGCTAAACAAAAAACCCGCAATAATAAAATATTTTATTCCATGCGCATCCAGGTGCAGAGCATGCCTCTTCAAAAACACGCAGACGTTTCCAAAATGTGTGCGTAAAACTCACGCATCAAGTGCAAAAGGCTTGGTCTCCTTACCTGAGTGAAAGGTAAGCTGTAAAAACACAAGCAGCAGCAGCCAGAGGTATTCCATAGTTAGTATTCCATGAGTCTGGCTGAGAAGGAAAGCCAGGGACTTTTCAGTTAAAGTAGCTCGACTCGACTCGCCGAGCGCGCCGGTGTTGTAGGAGCCTGACCGCGGGGACTCTGAGAGAGGCGCGCGCTCACAGAGAGGCTTTAAAGGCACAGATGCTCAGCAGCAGCAGCATGCTGTTGTCCTGCAGCGCGCCAGAGAGCACGGAACGGTCCGACCAGGTAGCTCTGTCTGGAGAATGAGGGGCGACAACATGTTTATAGGAAGTGGTGGAGCCTATTTACTCACCCTGAGCTCCGCGCGCGGGAGGGAGGTGTCAGTGACCAGCGGCTCTATAAAACCGAGACGGACTGAGCAGCCGACACATCAGGGGGCACGCACCGTTGGTCCGCTTCACGTTTGATACATCCTGAATAAACCATTGTTATTACTACTCAGGTAAACTCACCTGTTCGACTGGACCCCAGTAACACTTTATTATACAAACATAAATGGTGTACTTCTACATGCGCTTTTTACTTTTTACTTCATCCAATTATTTATTTTTTTCAAACAAACCGTTAGTTAATAATGAACATGTGGTTATAAATGATTAAACAAATGATAAAGACTGACTTATTTAGAAAACACACGGCTGGTTGATGAACTACTAATGGTCAGTTAACGACAAATGGTTAGTGAGTAGTAAAATAGTTAATCAGATACTAATTTATATAATAATGATGAAATTCAGAAGGGAATAGAAGTTGGCATACTGATGCAGATGTTTATTTAAAGCTGCTATAGTAAAACAAATTAGCTTAATGTTTTTTTCATGCCTCTAACAAAAATATATAGAGGAGATAAAATCCCAGAAATTGTTAAATTCAATTTAAGCTTATTTACACATCGCCAAATCACAACAAGCGTGTCTGAAGGAACTTCACAAAGTAAACATTCCAGCAGTGCTGCTGCTGAGAAGGATACAATTATGAAATCCTGCAGCATTATCACTTGTACCGCTTCGTTTTCACACAGAACAAGACCCCCCCCCCCCCCCCCCCCCCCACACACACACACACACACAGCCTGAAGTGCAGAATACGAAATGCAGAAAATCAGCAGGGGGGCATATTGAGACAGAACGTCATGCTTCTGTGACAGTGTGTGTTCTGTCACTGTGACCCGGTTAATCATGCGCCCTGGCTACTTGGACAAGAAAGATTTTTGTTTGGCTGACTGGTTAGCGTGTGTGACTTTCACTCGGGAGTCTGGGGATCGAATCCTGATTGGATCTTTTTTTTTATATCCGCCACAGATCTCTCCGAAGAACTCAGCATTGACGGCTTCAGCAACGCTGTGCCACTCCGTGGATTTTCTCTTATTTGTTTTGCAAAAGCACTTCCTGTCATTTCTCCACCTCACCCACCAACACATTCTCACACCCTAAGCGTCGGAAACAAACGCTTGGTCAGCCACCCTCCACGTCAGACCCCTGACGCCAAAAGTGCCCTTTTTCGTTACTTATGTGCGAAAAGGGTTTTTTCCTTTTTGTAACTGCAGATCCCAATGCAGCGTAAAACTGACGTGATTAGATATCTGCTGATGCGGCACCGAACCACCTCGTTTAACCGCACCTAAACCTTAACGTTTCACTATTTATAACCTTCCCCTCTCCCTCATCCTAACCTTAACCCTCTTGCTACCTAAAACGTTACTCTCACTGTGATCAAGCGTTTGTTTCCCCTGCATTCTGACTCTGACAGTCAGAGTCTGACTGTCAATTTTCGTATTTGCTGCCCAAGTGGAACGTTAGAACATACCATCTGGCGAGGGGGAGGTTACACATACCCTCTACTTTTAACCTCCACCTTGGTAGTTGAAACCTCCCCCTCGTGTTGGCTCGGTCCAAACTCGACCAATCACGAGGCGGCTCCCGCCGTTCGCGATGGTTAAGGTTAGGATAGGGGTGAGGGGAAGTTTAAACAAGAGGATGAGGTTAAGGTGAGGTACAATGAGCTTGTTTGGTGCCCTGGCTGCGGACATCCCATCGCGTCAGTGTAACGCTGCATTGGGATCTGCAGTCAAATAAGGGAAAAACCCCTTTTCGCACATAAGTAACGAAAAAGGGCACTTTTGGCGTCAGGGGTCTGACGTGGAGGGTGGCTGACCAAGCGTTTGTTTTTGACGCGCTGGGAGTGAGAATGTGTTGCACCCACAGGTACCTCAACTTCAGCTTCTGTGAAATAGCGCTTCCTTGAGCTGCGGTCGTGATCGAAATTCTGCAACAAGCTGGCTTATGTATATGCTTGAGGTCCACAAGGCACTTTGCAATGACCATTTATGGCAGAAAGTGGGCGTGGTGAGGGCGGGATGTGACTAAAAAGCAGCTCAGAACCTTTCTAGATAGTTTCTGATTTATGAAGCGGAGATTGCGTGCAGCTGTGCGTCCTCCATGTTTGATAGATCACAAACCTACTTGGCGTAAGTACATATTTTTTTGCTGAGCTTAAGTACGGTTTTAGTAAGGATTCTACGCCATGTTGGATAGACGAGACTCCTGTTCATTAAGCCAGTCAGTAGCAATGTTGAGTCTGAAAACAAATCTTTCATTGTCAAACAGGTTTTTCCTGGGATCTTCTTCTTCTATAGGAAGAAGTCAATGCTTATTATATCCTACCTACATTTGACTCATCCAGGACACACCCATATAGATATTCATACATACGATGTTGTCCATGTCACATAAACACACAAAAATCATTCTCAGTACAGAAACCCCACCATCCACCAACCCCACCAGATCTCTGCTCTGCTTTATCCATGAACTTATATATATATATATATATATATATATATATATATATATATATATATACCTTTTTAATTAGTTTAGTCCATACAGTCCTCATCCATACTGTTCCACAAGTTGACTCCACAGACCGCGATGCATACTGGCTTCATAGTAGCTTTATATTTTCTAAGATGTAGCTCTCCTCCTTTTGTAAGCCCCCATTCTATGGTGATTTGTTATGAACTAATGTTGATTAATAAAACAAATAATAGCTAAGGAAGAGTTATTGAGGCCTCATTAGGGACCTCTGCTGCCCCACTAGTGTGATTGTTTCGAACTGATGGATGAAAGCCTAAATGTCATCACGATAATAAGAGAAGTCCTTTTTCATTTATGATCCTCAAGACAACCATTTGAGGTGATATTAAGAAAGATTTTTGTGAATCAAGGTTACCCTTTAACGCTCTCAGGCTCAAAATGAGTTTTGATAAAAGGACGAACAACTAAGTCCTTCAGCGGTACTTCTGAGTTAAAAATGCTCATGAAACACGTGTGTGGAGTAACCAGGTGGGTAGGTTTTAATGGTGCAAATCTGCAACGCCTGCCTCCAGAGGGTTAAACACTTATTGATCTAATTGGCCAAATTTTTGTGATGTTCACAACAAACAAACATAAACAGCTGCATTCTCGTTCAGTCTGCATCAGAGTGTCTGAGGTGTCAGATGTCTCTGTCTTGACTCAAAATTACCCCGACCGCATGATCAGACATTTAAACAAGCTGCAGAGGGGCCAGAACCACTGTTCTCATTACATTTTAAGTATTTAAAGCTTGGTTTATAAGCTGAATTCCACTTTAGCTAATCTTTCAAAAAGATGTGAGCAGTTTGCTGACAATCACCCACAAAAACTGCGAAATTGTTACAGTTTTTTTTTCGATTGCTAAAACGCGTTTTTCAAAACTGCGTTTCTTTCAAAACTGCACACACAAAACCCCAAACGTAACACACAAAATCCTAAACCGTGGCTTCCCTTTGCAACAAAACCCTGCCATCACATATCGTAACATGTTCCCAAAATGGAACACGTGCTTTCATTTGGTAAACACAGCCACATTTTCACATGACACACACACACCATTCACTGCTTGAACACAAGTAGCCTTTGGGTGAACACTACCAAGCATGGAGAGAACACTGAAGAGCTAAACTGAAAACACAATCGTCTAAATGGAACACTGAATGTATGACAGGGCCCTCTTTTCTCTGAGACAAACATTAGACATCACACACATTTTGAGACAAAACATTTTATTTTTAAACCCCCCCCCCCAAGCATAACCATGGGGCATCATGCCTCCTGTCTCTGTCTGGCCAGAGGGCCTCATCAACATCACAGGCGATGTCCTCCTGGTCCAAACAGCGCTGCGAGTACCGCCTCGAGTGCCTCATGAAGCCCTGACGGGCCTCAAAGCCACATCTCTACAAGCCTCCTCCATGGCTTGAAGCAGTGGGACCTGGCTCTGGGGATTCCTTTCGTACACCTTCCACCTCCAGGCTGAGAAAAACTCCTCAGTGGGATTGAGGAAGGGGGTGGTCCTGAAACCACTCATACACCTGGGTAGCCTTGTGGAAACGTACTTTTATGCTGCAGTCCCTGATTGCAAACTGCTCGCCAGACCCGAAAGTTTAGAGGTTTGAATATTTGTGTGTTGTTGATTGAAGCTTTGAGAATTTATGTGGAAAGTGTGTGTAAACCTGAAAATTGTGTGTTGTGTTTTGACAGCAAGGTCATGAGAAACTGACATCAGAGTGTAAAGGAGGAAAATCAGAGTTCTGATATGATCAGGAAATCTTAAGTAGTGATAAACTGAGTCAAGCGATTGGGAACAGAAGTAGAGGTTGTGAAAATTGTGCCTCATTTTTGCTTTTTGAGTTTTAGCAATCGAAAAAAACTATGATATCAATTATAAATATACATCTTACACTGGCAGGAAAACGTTAGTCTCCGTGTTTATTTATGATGACATTTTAAACCCCATTGCACTTTAAAGGGCTCTGAATATTTTCTTAGTTGTGTTTCTGATTTTCTTTCATCTTGGGGCAGAAGCATCTGTGGCACCGAGTGGTGAACTGAAGAACCTCCAGACAACACGTCGGTGCTTAACCAACAGAACCACTTGGGTGAGCAGCTGCAGTTTAGCTGCAAATCTGTTTGTGGATTAAAAAAGAGGGATTTCCGGTTTAAAACAAAAACACTTTTCAGTCTGTTCTTTTTCTTTAACCGGTATTTAAAAACTCGTCCATCCTTCTGTAACTCCTAAATCCTTTCCTTGTTACTCTGATACGTCTGATCTTAGCTCACTTGTCTCATATAGATATATCCCCCATCACATGAAGCATTGTCTATGGAGAAAATCTATAATAATCTATAAATTACCTGGATTTTCAGCTTTACTTTTGGTAGCTAACAATATAATCAGTTTTGTATTTTGTGAGAATTTATCATTAGCATAATTTAGCTGAAATGTTCATGCTGCACTTCATTTCCTTGTAATTATAGCTGCTGCATGCAAACCACCAAACAGCCG